AAATTGGAAAGGACATTCTTCCTGACAGTTTTTTGCAGGCATCATCATTTGTCTGACTTTCTGGTAGCTTAGTGCTTCAGGTTGAGGGGCACTGTGCTTCTTGCTCTGATGGCAAACATAAGGTTAGGAGTGGTAAAAATGTACCAGGACTTTTTTTATAGTGAAGTGCTTCTGTTACTTGTGTAGAAATTCAGTGCAGTTTTTTACAAAACTGTAATGTTTTTCTTGTTCCTCAAATACTCCAGCATGAAACTTTGTTTACGCCCAAATATTTAGCTGAGGATGGGCTGCTGGATTGGGTTCAGGAAGAGTGAAAGCCACACTTCGGCACAAAAAAAAAAGTGGCACTTCCTAGAAACTGCTTCCCAGTTGCCTTTAACCTCTATAGTAGACTGTGATGTCCAAGCACTGGAGAAAGTTCCAGGCAAAAAAAAGAAAAAAAGACCCGTTCATGAAGATAAGACTTTATGCTAACAGTCAAAGGGTAAACAGAGATCCTGGATCACTTGGCCCTGGAGCATGCAAATATTTAATTCTTCCCAAAACAAACAATGGCAGGAACAGAGTAGTAGAACTGTTTATTAACTCCAGCTGCCTGGTCTGCAAAATGAGGAAACGCTGCCTGGCGGGAGCAGGGCACAATGTGCTGAGGTTGCTCTGGGCTGGGCTTGAGCCCTTCTGATGGGCGACATTCAAAATGTGTTTTGAGGCTCCTTCACCTGCTCTTGTTCTGGAAAGGTGGTGAAACCAGTCAGGGGTTTGGCCCGTGGCTGAAGCGGGAGCTGAAATTAAAAATTCCCCACATTTGGTACTTCCCTACTTAGTGTTTAGGTGGATATGAAGGAACAAGCAGGATTTTCTCAATGTTCCTCTGTTCTAGCTATATCAGAGCTATTCTTAGCTGTATACATGACAAGCAGGGCTCCAGCTCATTTAAGGGAGACAGTGAGACATCTATTTTAGGCACTTTTAGCCTCTAACCTGAGTTTCTACCTTGCCCTCCTGAACTGCCGCTGCCTCCCTCCATGGTCTCCATGGGGTGAGGGGCCCTTTGCAGCCCGGGGCTTTGGGGCACTTACACTATTGCTGCAAATTATAAGTACTTTAAGTGTTTTGAATAACTGGATAAGAAATATTTTGAAAAGTAAACATTTTCAGTTTTATTTGTCACCCCTTCTAGTACAGAAGAGTATAGCATCTCTGCTGTTCATTTTATGCAGTTGATGAATCAAATTATAGCTGGTTAAGTGCATCTCTCTGCTAAGTCTCTGTGGGTTGAAATAGGATTAATCTGTGAATCTGAGAGAGGCAGCTGCGTCCAGCACAGCTCTATGGCCTCCTGTACAATTTTGGACCATTTCTTTTGACCTTCTCCTTGGATATCCAAGCTGTAAAACAGGGAAAGCTTTTAACCTTTACCACCTTCTTTGGCTTTCCCTGAAGTTAATATTTTTTCAGCAATCCATACTATTCTAAATGATATTCTTTTATTTCTCATCCTAGCTGGGAAAATGCAGAGAATATGCAAGAAAATCTCAAAAATATTTCAACAAACTTGTGCCCTCTTATGGAAAAATATTCTTAGGATGTGGAGAACAAAAATGGAAACTTTACAGGCAAGTATCTTGTCTACCAAGGAGAAGACAGGATTTCCACTGTGAAGTGTTCTTGTGTTGTGTTGTTTTTATGGTAGGTGATCTATGAAAACTCTCAGCTGATAATGTGGCTCTCTAGCAAATGTCAGCATTGGATTTCTCCCAGTGACACGACATCACAACAGCTTGTCTCTACGCTGGCTCATTGCTTTCAGCTGCTGAACACAGTGTGAAAGTCACAATCGCTGCTACAAAATTATCTGCAGAGCTTGTTGGCTCTGATGCTAAGGAGGCGTGTTTTTTCACTTCATATATTCCTCTTACTCTAAAATTATGATACCTGCCAAATAGCTCCTTCTCATTTGTGTAAAGAAAGCATTGGTGTCTGGAGCACCTTAGCATGACATTAAAAACCCTGTGATACCACTCACCTTTATTTCCTCCTTTTTGTCTAGGAATGGATTACCATGCTGGCCCTCACCTTCATAATATTCTTAACAACACGAGCGATATTCCAATTCCCACATTATGAAATCCCTTATAAATTCCTTGGACGCTTAGATGATCCTGCCTTCAATGCTACCGGAGTTAAAGTTTTATATACCCCAGCAACGGATGCCACCAGGCAAATAATGGCTAAAGTGGCTTCAGATTCGGCAATGATGGGTAATGCTGCTGTTAAATCCTGGTTTATAGTGACAGTATCTGTCCTACCCTGACCGTATGAGTACATCAGTCTGCAGTACTGATGTTGGGGCACTGGCTGTAGCCATGTAGCTGCATATTTTCATGTTGTTTCAGTACTAATCAGAAACCCTGCTGTGTTTGTCTGGTTTTGTTTGAAAATGCCAGGTATAAAACCTGAAGAAGTGACAAATGATAAAATAGAAGATGAGCTTTTGGATAGAGACCTTATTGGTGTTGTTTTTAAGGATGACTCCTCCTATAGTCTCCGATTTCGCAACTACAGAATAGTAGATCCAAGTGATGTCCTTGATCAAATAGGTAATGGAAAGAAATGAACCTAGAGAATTGCATAACAATTTTGCCTAACAAACTGCTTAGAGGAATCTCTGTGCTGTCCAGCCATTTGGAAGGGATCTAGGGTCTATGTGCTGAGTACTTTAAGCGAAGATAATAATTGGGCCGTGAATTTTTGATTCCTTAAAAAGAAATTTAAATGGCAAGGGGAAAAAATGTTAACACAGATTTCAAAAATTCCTTCATCTCAGCCCCCTGTGTCATACCATGTCAGATCATAAAGTGAAGATGAACATCATGTGCACTAACTTACTTCTAATATATCTGTATATTGATACATATTTAATGCATTAAAAGATAATCACGGACACATGTGTCCACATCTTTCTTCAGCAAGACCAAACATGCCCTTATTTGCTGACTAAAAGAAATAAAATATCCAAAACAAAATAGGAAAGCTGGGAAGGTTGAGCTTGTCTGGCTCTGCCATGCAGTGGAGGCAACACTAATGTTGCCTCAGGTGGTCCGTGGAGCTAGAGCCATTGACTCCCAAAACTGCATCTCCAGGGGAAATACTGAGTTGTACTAAATCTTAATTTTCTGATGACTCTTAAGTCAGATACTTTCACCTTCCCCACCCATACATATGCACGTATAATATACATATTATACACACATAATATATATGTGTGTGTATATATGCATATGTGTACGTATGTTTAAGCATACATGTAAAGTGCTTCATTTTCTTTCTTTCCTCCAGAAACCTGCTACAATTATTCATCAAGCTTCTGCAATGTCCCTTCATACTGGAAAGAGGGCTTTTTATCACTGCAGGCCAGCATTGATGCAGCAATGATAGAAGTAAGTATCATCATGATGGAAAATATATTTTCCTTTTTTTTTTCTGAGTTATTCAACTTTACAAGAGGAAAAAAAAAGTAGTTTTCTGTGATCATTATTTTTTAAATATTATTGTGATTCGAAAGTTAAAATAATGATGGGTCATCTTGGCAAATTGCACCTGTCATTTGGGTACAAAAGATTTCCTGTATTAAACTGAAAATTAGCTATCTGAGCCTCACTTTTCTCCAATTTATTCTTTGCAAATTTACAGGAAAAGGCACAGTGTTTGCAGCTACGCAAGATTTTGGTCTTTATCAAAATGTTCCATTTTGAAAAATAATTATGAAATGTTTAACATTTCCCAAACTCTGTTTTTCAGTGAAAAACTATTTCAAGATAAAAATAAGACTGACTCCAAGCACAATATTTACAGAGCAGTAAAGCTATGCATTTCCTGTCCTTTAACTATCCTATAGTTTCATTACTGCTTCTCTCACATTTTTCTTCCATCTGTTGGTTTTAGGTCATGGTTATACTCATAGCTCAAAGCAACATTATTATTTATTGTATGGAATTATAGAAACATATTGAATGTTGAAATTAATTTACATCATTATTGAAATTACACTTAACATCATTATTGAAAAAACTAATAACTAATGCTTATGGATAGGTCTTTGTTCTGATGTTGACTATTTTGTTATGAAAAATCAAATTAATGACAAATTTCTGTTCTTCAGGCGAAAACAAATCGTTCCGTCTGGGAAGAGATGAAGTCAATTAGCGGCATTTATCTGAAATCAGACTCAGTCAAGCCTATGTATAGAATGGACTATATTTGGTTCATTTTTGGCCTTATAGTGTGTTTCACTCCAAATATGTACTTTTTATCAGTGAAGGTTATAAGAGAGAAAAAGAAGCTCAAAGTTTTAATGAAAGCAATGGGTTTACAAGATATCGCATTCTGGTAAGTCTAATAGAAGGAGATTAACTGGACATAATTGCAGGAGTTATATTTGCTGGAATGAAAGTGTCGGTCCATGGGGCAGCTCAGCTTTGTTTCCAAAGGCAGGGAGCCCCAGTGATGGGCAGAGCAGGAGACAGCCACGCATGGACTCCGAGTCCTCACTTGCCAGGGCTTAAAGTGCCTGCGCCAGTGATGAGATGCAGTAACATGTAATATAGGGGTTCTTCGCATAAGACAGAGAACAAAAAAAGTGAAATGAGAAATTTAGAAGTGCATTTGAAATGATCAAGGGTCTACCAAAGCAGGAAAGACTTGCATGATTGTATTCTTTCATCAGGAAAAACATAATTAATAGTCTAGACTGCATTACATGCCCCTCAGTTCTTCCCAGTGTCATTGCACCTGCACACTCGTGGGTAGGTGCAAGAATGGCTTTTGACATAAGACGAATGTGTCTTGTACCAGATATGTCGTAGCAACTGTTGCCATTTACAGAGGCAAAATTAACAGTGCCTTCATTTGCAGGTTGTCCTGGAGCTTGCTATACACCGTTTACATTTCAATCTTGGCAAGCTTGCTGACAGCCATCACGCTTCAAGTCATCTATGAACACAAATTTACTGAAATATTCTTCTTTTATTTCTTTTATGGCATATCATCTGTAAGTCTGCTTCTGTGTTTTTAAATTATGCATGGATTTTCTTTTCCCACTTGCTAATTAAACTATTTATACATTTAGATTACAGAATACTCCAGGGCAGGACATTGTATTAGAAGTAACAAAAAATTCTTCAGCTGCATTGCTTAGGGTTTTTTTTTAAAAAAAATGGTAGACTAAAATGTCACTCCAATTTTAGAAGGTTCTGACTCAGTTTTTGTATGTTGAAATCTCACACAGAGTAGGGACCTTTCAAGGAAAAATGGTAATTTCTGTAGAAACTGTACAGACAATCAGTGTCAAGTGCATGGGATCACCCCAGGTTTAATGTACCTGCAGTAGAGAGTCTTCAGCAGTAACATTAGTGGAAAGTCTGGTGCTGAATGGCTCTGGGACGCACCATGTCCTAAGCTGGAGGCAGAGAGGAGTGGGAACATCTGTCCGTATAGACCTGCGCTAGATGTCTCCTTCAGCAGATGGCTACAAAGCCTTCTGAGATGCCACATGCACACAAATGTTTTTGATTTCACTTTCCAAGAACATGACTGTAAAGGATAACCAAAGCCAACCATGTCTTTAATGTTGCTTCTTAGATTTTTGTGTTATTCTTTTATCATCAGCAAAAATTCATCCTGCTAATTACAGTTTTTCTCTTCTGCAGATTCACTTCTGTTTTATGCTCAGCTCATTGTTAAGGAGGCCTAATATTACTAGTTTTGTGGGGTTTGTCCTTCAAATTCTCTTTGGATGTGTGGGCTTTTTGACCTTTTTTGAAATGCTACCTCCGGCTTTTGAATGGATTTTTAGTTTCATGAGTTCTTTTGTCTGTGCAGCCGGGATCTCAAAGGTACGCTCCAAATAAAACAAGCAGCAAACACTGCAGATGTGGCACAGGGACAGGTTAGCACTGTGGTCAATATCCATTGCTAGAATGACCCACTCGGGCAGCTCTGTGCTAAGTGATTTGTAAAAAGAAAGTCTGATTCCAAACAAACATAGTTAGTCTCTCTGCCATAAATTTCTGTGTCTGGAAAACTATTAAAAACAATGTTGTGATCGCAAGTAGGCTTGGGTTGATGGTGGAGAAAAGGTCAGAACACAACAGGGGCTTACATACAGGCTCTCGGGCTGAACGGAGTGTTGCATCTGATCTGTACTTTTTTCCCTCTCCTTAGCTTATAAATTTGGAAAAACATGGAGCAGCACTTACACCAGAATTGTACCCTTTCTTTAGTCTCTACATCATATTAGCCCTTGACAGTGTTTTATATATGCTGTTGGCCATCTACTTCGATAAAGTTTTGCCTGGTAAGTAGAAATGTAAGGGAAGGAGTATGAATCGGCTTGCACTTTTTTTTTTTTTTTTTTTCCTGTAACCCTCTCCTCTCATGGAGGATGAGGAGCTGAAGCAGCTGTGGGATGTTTTTGAGAAAACTCTAACCTATGGGAAACAGCAAAAAATATGTCCCAGAAGCAAGCTACTCAGGTTGTTGAGCAGCATCCTGATGGAAACGTACCTGCCCCATTACACAAGGGGCTGAAAACTAGAATTGCCATGATCATGAGGAAGAAATTGTTGGAAAGATTCTTGTTTTCCCAGAAGCTCAGTGTGCAGAGCTACCCAACTTGGCTCTGCCTTAGAAACAGCCTGCAAAAAGAGCCCGAAATCCCACAGCGGGGCACTGAAATCCTTTGCATCTACTCCAGCACCCTTAGCCAGTAAGGTTTTAGAAGGATGTTGTAGGACTTTGGTTCAGAATATGTTTAAAAAAAAAAAAAAAAAAGTAAAGAGAGGGTCAACAAAGTCTTTGCTGCCTGTGTGCATTTTCAGATATGAGCAAGTGAGCAACTTTGATCGCAGGAATCCCTTTGATTCTGTGAAAAGAAGTGTAAATTTTGTGACTGTAGACAATGAGATAGCTGAATGTATGAATATATATCAATACATATATGCCATTTATCAAAGTTGAACTGAGACAGCAATTTGGGAGTGATAGTTAACCTTTTTTTTTGTTTGTTTCTGAATTAGGTAAATATGGAGTACAGTATCCTCCTTCATTCTTCCTGAAGCCATCCTACTGGTTCCCACACAAGTACAGGAGCACAGGAGAGGGAGCTGGCAATGGAAGCAGCCATAAACCTCTCAGTACTGCTGAAGAACCGATGCCTCCAGAGTTTGCTGGGAAGGAAGCAATCAGGTAAAGACTTGCAGATATGAAGAACAACCCCTACACATTATATGAGAGTCTAGGTGGCATAGCCACTGTTGCACCAGCGAAACTGCACATGTGCTTCTGATTGCCTTCCATTATACAACCATGTGCTCTTTCATTCCCTATGGCCTCCTGCTTCATTAATTAATTGTTTGTTGAATTTGACTTACAGACACTTTGCTATCATTATAAAATTGCATTAACTAAATCTGCTTTTAGGAGATGAATTATAAAAACAGGTTTTTTTTGTTGTTGTTTTGGTTTTTTTTCCCCATGAGAAAATGTAGTAATCCCCTGATGATGGCAAGTAGAATCAAATTTAGGAGGAGGTTGAAAAATATCCTTCCAAAAGTTTTTGTAGGTTCCTTCTAGGCAAAAGAAATCTGCCAGAATTGCGAGATTTAGTAGTAACAGCTTGCTTGCCTTTTCTTTAGAATAAACAATATTAGCAAAACATGCAAAAGGAAGGACAAGAGAACAGAGGCCTTAAAAGGTAAGATAAGTTTTACTTCACATTTCCCTATTTATAAATCAAAACTGTTTTGAAATATTTGGATGTACTTAAATCCATCTTCAGCACTGTGAAGTTAAAACACATTATGCACCTGTTATTTCTGCTGGTTTAAGTTACTTGCAGATTCCTAAAAATGTGTTATCCAGTTTTCCTATTCCCTCCAGAAAAATTGCTACAGAATATTTTTTGCAGTAGCAGGAGTCTCCTCAAAAGCTGTGTATTTGCAGACATAAACCATTGTGTAAAAACACCTCAGCACACTAAACATGTAAACTAAATTGCAAAGATGCAATCTGTGCTTCGGGATCTGGTTTTGCCCATCTTCAAAAGAAATCGCACTCCTCTATCAAACCTGACAATAAACTACAGGTACAAATTATTTCCTTCACACACTTTCATCCTAATACTATTCTGTTTTGATTTTAGGCTTGTCCTTGAATGTTTATGAAGGCCAGATCACAGCATTGCTTGGTCACAGTGGATCTGGAAAAACAACTCTATTAAATGTGCTCAGTGGCTTTGCCCAGCCTTCAGCAGGTAAGATGATGGACCTGTATGCTGAAGATGAGAAGCTGTCTGGCTTTCAAGTCTACCGGGGTGAAGAAACAAAACAAAAAAAGCCACAGCTTTCTCCTGGTGTTCAGTTAGCTCAGGTTGTTCCATCCACAAATGCTTTGGGACTAATACAACTCTCGTGGATATGCTAGAGTGTGCAAGCATGCATAGACGGTTATTTCCCAGTTGGATGTCCAATGTCTTCCTTGAGCTTGATATATGCAGGAAATATGTTTTAGTTCCTGAGAGAGAGATTTGGTGCCCTGAGCTATTTCTGACTGGTATTCAAACCTTTGCACAACAGAAATTTATTTTGCCCACCTTATTTATTTATTTTTTTAACATCTGAGAAACGGTCATTATCACGGATTTAATGTCAAAGATACAAACACAAAAGTGTGTGCTTTCCCCGCACAACTGAGAAATACTGTATACTATAACACCTGTTTCATTCCTTTCCGTGTACAGGTTCTGCAATGATATACAACTACAAAATATCTGAAATAGAAGATATGGAAGCAATTCAGACAATTGTTGGGGTTTGTCCACAATCGAATCTGCATTTTGAAGCCTTAACAGTGAAGGAAAACCTGCGAACTTTTGCTCACATCAAAGGGATTCAGATGAAAGAAGTAGAGCGAGAGGTTGGTATGTGTTTGGTGGCTGACCTCTGTTTTCCAGCATCTTGAAGCATTTGTTGGGCTAAATTTATAAAAGATTGCCACCAGTGTTTGATTCTTCAAATCAAGACTAGCCCTAATTTAGGGCAGAAGTACATTTTAATTCTCTTATTCCCAGCAGTCTCTTTGTAATATTTATTTAAATGGAAATCCATTTAAAGCAGTTAAATTTTATATCTTGAAGCTCTGCTCTTGTGTACTGTCTGTAGCCACATGTGAAACAAAAAGTGTGTAATAGTTGGAGCTATTGTAGCCAGCTCAGGAGTTACTTCCCTGTGCATTTTCAGCAGATGGTCTCCACACCTTGAAACTGAAGTTTGGCCTTTCTTTTTGTATATCACCAAGGTGAAGGAAGTACTGACAGCGTTGGATCTCACTGATCTTCAGGATGCCCACCCCAATACTTTGACTGTGGGACAAAAAAGAAAATTATCTCTTGGAATTGCAATTTTAGGGAATCCAAAGGTAGGGAGAAGATGATATTTGTGTATCTAAACAAAGGTTTAGTGCATAGTTTTGCATTTTGATTTGGCACAGATATTTGTACTTCTTTTCCCTCGCCACCTAAAAAAATCCTCTGACCTGCTAATTCACTAGGCTGCTAAAAGGGGCAAGGAATCTAGATATTTTAAAAACTGTATTTAAAACAGAAAGTGTAATACTAAATTAGAAGAAAGAACAATAAAAAAGGCAATCATTTTGGGTTGCATTTTATCTTTAGAATAAGAGCATTCAATTTTAAAAGCATTCAAATGATTCTGCATAAACATGGAAATGGTGTCTTTGCAGGTGTTGCTTTTAGATGAGCCAACAGTGGGGTTAGATCCTTCCTCCAGACACCAGGTGTGGCGTCTTCTGAAGGAAAATAAAGCTGATCGTGTGAAGCTCTTCACTACCCAGTGCATGGATGAAGCTGATATTCATGCAGGTGAGCCCAGATTCTCATGCTATGGTTGATCATGATTTAGAACCTGTCACCTATAGACCACGATGTAATGAAGTCTGTGCTTGCTAGATGAGTTTTATCTGATAAACTACTCAGCCTAACCTGAGTGAAAGATAAAACAAGGCTAAAACATTCTTCCAAGACCTTGCAGTTCACACTGCTTCAGTAGGAAGCAGTTATATCTGAACAGCACCTACTCAAAATTAATGATATTGTCAGAAATAATAGCTGTCCTGGTTCCTTATTGCTCTTAGGCTCCATGGAAAATTTTCTATAAGCTATAAGAATGCATAATTAAGAGCAACCTTAGTGTTCAGGAGAAAGGCAGGAAACTTTATAATATATAATAATATATATTTAATGTTTAGGAGAAAGGCAGAAAACTTTATAAAAGTTCACTTATTCACTTAAATCCTTTGCATTTACACTTCCTTAGATCGGAAAGCTTTTCTCTCAAATGGGAGATTACAGTGTGTTGGCTCATCTCTTTACTTGAAGAGAAAATGGGGAGTTGGCTATCATTTAAGGTAAATTCTTTTCTTTTTGATCATCACCACATCAACTAGAAGTAGATTTTCATAAAAGTATTTGCTCATAGGGTCCATGTCTCATTTAAAGTTTCCGTATAGAGAAATAGAAATCTTGACAGTCCATTTTAGAGGGCTTTAAGACTGCCAAAAGAATGTTGCTTTGGATAGCAAGCTGCTTTTCTTTGAACCCAATCCTGAAAGCTCTGAACATGTAGCTAAAATGACTTTGCAACACCAGGCAACCGAAAGAGCACTAGCAAGAGAAGAACTGCAATTTCCACATAATCTGTGGTGCCAGTCACATACAATGCATTTAATATAAAATTGCTTTTCTTCGGATTTTAATTTGTGTTCTTGGTTTGACATTGCTGCCCAGGGTCATTATTCTTAACCTTGAGAACCTTAACCCTATTCTTAACCTTAACCTTATTTTTTTTCTATGTAGGCTTAGTTAAAACAGGGGCACTGCAGAGCTGTAAGTTGTCTATAAAAATTCCTGCT